TACCCCACTGCCCCTCGGCTCTGGGGGTCCAGCAGGGGGGAATTTGGGGTGCCGCAGATGTTCCGAGCCCCCGACATTCCCTCAGCACAGCTAGTCCCAGGTGTCCGGTGCGAAGGTGAAGGGGCACAGCTTGTACCCGGCACCCACATAGAACTTATTCTGGAACTCCACCCTGGGGAGGAGAGGTGGAGGGGTCAGGGGTGGTTGGTGGGGGTCCACCACCCTCCCACCCCCGCAGACCCCACCAGCTTTGGGGGCTCACCAGTGCAGGCGCAGGGCGTGGAGGAAGGCGGAGAGCCCCTCCATCACCAGCAGGATGGCCACGGTCAGCACGGCGAAGGCGGCGAACACGGGCACCAGCACCACCCCGCCCACGTAGCTCAGCCCCACGAAGCCGTTCCGCATCACCATGGTCCACAGGACCTCCGAGAGCTCTGGGAATGGGCGGGACAGGGGCAGGCAGAGGGGGTGAGGGCCTGCCCAGCTCCAGTGGGGGACAGAGGGGGCCAAGGGCACTCACGGGCGTGCGCCAGGCTGAGCGCCCAGAGCCGCAGGTAGGACGCGGTGTTGGAGACGCAGCCCAGGCAGTACTCGATGGTGTGGATCGCCTGGTGCATGAAGATTTCGGAGAAGTCCAAGTGCTGCAGGGGGATGGAGGGGACACGGGACATGAGCAGGGGGCACAGACACCCCTACTCCCATCATCTGAGCTCGCCTGGGTGCCCCTCACCTTGGCGTCAGGGCTGTGCCCCCCGCTCTCCACGTCCTCCTTGGTGGCGTTGACAGAGTTCCCGGCCTCCTGCCCATCCAGCAGTGGCTCCTGCTCCCCCGTAGCCACCGGCTGCACCGGGACAGCACCGGCAGGCAGTGAGACGTGCCCCCCCTGCACCTCCCCGCTGAGCCCACCCACAGCCCCCCAGCCTTACCCTACTCGGGGCGCGCTGCCGGCACCACAGGTACAGCGGCGTCCCCAGGAGCAGGACGGGCACCGACGCCAGCGCCAGCACCACCAGCACCGTCTGCACCGGCACCTGTGGCACGGGGACATCGTTCTGGGGTCCCCTATGGGCTACTCGAGCTGAGAATGGCCCCACTCACGACACCAGGGCTCCCAGCTCTCCCACCCTGGGTAGGGGGTGGGTGGTCCCCATGGCAGTGGGGTGGTACCTGCCCCTGGTAGAGCGGGAGGTTCTCGACATTGGAGGTGAAGAGGAACATGTCGATGAAGTGGATGAGGATGCTGGGGGCCACCCGGGAGTCGGCAGCGCTGTACTTGAGCCACTTGTAGAAGATGAGGAAGACCAGGTAGCCAAAAAGAGCCAGGAGGAAAATCATCTCCGGGAGGAACTCCAGGACCAGCCGGTGCCGCTGTTTGAAGTGCCTGGTGGGGGGGGACATCAGACAAGCTCAGCCTGTCCCTCCTTACCCTCCTGTGTCCTCGGCACCCACTAAGGTGTAGGAGTACAGGACCCAAGTCACCCACCCCATCCCACCCAGGTGAGTCCAATCCTGGTCCCCTTGGCATGACAAGAGCCAGTGGGAGCAGCCCGAGAACTCACAGGTGGTTGAAGACCCCCAACACGACGCCAAAGCCCATGTGCACGATGCCCAGCACCACTGACATCTTCATCTTGAAGGAGTTGAGGAAGTTGAGATGGTTGGTGGCCAAGCTCCAGATCTGTTGTGGACAAGGTGGGTGAGACTCTGCGCCACCTCAAAGAGGGTCCCACCTCACTGTCACCCCTATGGGACACTCACCGGGTCGATCCCAAATGGATACGGCCCTCGGAAGACACCGGTGACATTGGGGTCCAACGTGAGGGAGGGGTGGGTGGCGAGGTAGGCAGAGCTGGGGGCAGAGCAAGGGGTGTCAGCACTGTCAGGGACCCAGGGAGGCAGGCAGGGGGCGCAGGGGTGGGATCCCACCTCCAGGAGGAGTGGTTGGCCATGGTGGCCACGCTCCAGGCGGAGGGGAAGATGACGGTGGCTTTGCTGAAGCACTCGTTGTAGATGAAGCCGGTGTAGATGGAGAAGGCGCCCATGAGCAGAATGAGGTAACGCCCCTCGAAGAATGTCAGCCAGATCTGGTGGGGGCAAATATGGCTCCCGTGTCCCTCACTACCTCCCCCGCCCTCCCACACCACCACCCCTGACCCACCCTGTGGCACCAACCCTCTCCCATGCTTCCAACCCCAATCCCACGCCCCCAACCTTGCGTCACACCTTCAACCCCATCCCATGCTTCCAAGGCCATCCCACATCTCCAACCCCGTTCCACGTCCCCCAGCTCGTCCCTTATTTCCAACCCCATCCCACCCCTCCGTCCCGCCCCCACCTCGCTGGTGCCCTGCCGCAGGCGGGGGCTGTCCTCGTACAGCACCATCCAGAGGGCGAAGAGGAACATGAGCAGCCCGTGCCCCACGTCCCCAAACATGATGGCAAAGATGAAGGGGAAGGTGATGATGGCGTAGGGCGCTGTGGGACACAGGGACTGCATCACGTGGGGTGCCCTCCCCAGCCCTGGGTCACGGCGGGGGTCTGGGGGGGTCTTACCAGGGTTCACCTCCTGGTAACTGGCCACCCCGTAGGCGTCCACGATG